GAGCTGTGTAGATCATTACTGAACCTCGCTGTATCAAACAGTATCCACTGCGGTTTGACAGCTGTAAACTCTCCTCAGCAGAGACCCAGAAGGCTTTATTAAGGCTCCAACTTTCCCACATTTGATGATTTATGTGTAATGATGATCAAGAAATAAAACCTCGAAAAGAATATGAAATTAGATCTTAACCAGCAATTAGGATATGTCTGACAGGAGCCGAGATGAAGGCTTGATTCTCATTTGAAAGCAAGGAAGGGAAAAGTGTTAGAGGATTTTCATTTGTACAGTATTTAATATTTATTACGTTTCACAGTGAGTCCATAGCACGCTGCGCAGTAGGTTTATGTGTATAAAATTTTAAAGATTCAAATAAATAACTCCTAAAGTTACAAACTATATTTCCCTTATAGAAGTGTCATTATATCTTTGTAAATGCCATTCTGTCAGTGTCAACAGCCATAGTTATATTAGCACAGTGTAATACTGTTAGTACTTTTGATTCTATTCCTTTCATTTCACCTCCTAGTTACATGTATGAGATTTCTTTGTACAGATTTGTACATTTTGGCTGGGGGCTACTCCACCTTAGTCAGCTTCTACTAATCACCCTCTTCAGTATCGTGGTTTTAAGATAGGGGGCGGTGCTGATATTTGTAGTGTGTACTTGTATTTGCAGATAGATGAAATAAGAGAACTCCAAAGGAAAAGCATCAATTATGTGTATGTAGATAATTTAAAATGATTTTTTTTTTTGCAAAATCATAAAGATTAATGTAACTGTTTGCAGTTCTGATTCACTGTGTATATTTTAAATAGTGCAAATATGAAGTGCTGGGCTGGGTATTAGCAAGCTGTATACTAAAACTCTAGCACAAATGTTGGTTTATGAGACTTAAATATGGATTAGAATCTGCTGTGCACTGGACAGCACAGATACAGCAAAGTGCAGTTTCTAACATTATTATTATTTTATCTCGAATATTTCTCAGTGTTGGAAAGTTATCACCATGAAACAGCTTGTTCTTTAGACCCCCAAAACTAACAAATGCTATTAAAAGATTACAGACAAGTCAAAAATATAACTGAATATATTATTAAAAAATCTTGTTAGTTAAATAATTAAAGTGCAGTGTAAAGAAATATACTCTCCCAATGGAGTGAAGAATAGCTTGCTAGATTCACTTTAAACATTTGCAGTTAAACACACTGAGCTCCAGCATTTTCAGCTTGCTACTTAGCTACTCATAAAAGTACAGCAGCCAGTGTACGTAATGTTACACTTACACTACTTGTAAGTTTGCTTCTATCTTCATAACATTATCTTTATGAGCATGTCTCTTGTCTTAATCAAGGATCACAATGAAAATAATGAGTTCAAATAAAAGGAGTTCACTGTGAACTCCTCCAGTGAAAAGGAAATAGGAGTTCTGCAGGTTGAACCCTGATGGAGAGAAATAGTGTGAATCCAAAATGGGGCAAATATTGTAGATCCGTGTTAAAGGCCTGATGAACTGCACAGATATTTTAAAACCTTTGAAAACTTGCCTTTGTTTTTTTCTACAACATTAAATATGTCTGACATTGTACTCTGGTCCACAAAACAAGTGGCCCTTCTGGAGTTGGCGGTTCCCTGGGAGGAACGGACTGAGGAGGCACATGAACACAAGCCTGAAAAATATCAGTCCCTCATCTTTGAAAATCAGCAGAGGGGGTCGAGAGCCTGGAACCTCCCGGTGGAAGTTGGTTGCAGTGTCTTTCCAGGGCCTTCACTCTGGAGAGCATTGGAAATCCTTCGGGTCAGAGGGGCACAACCAGGCTGGCAGAGGAGAGGGAGGGCAGGGTTATGTGGTGAGACATGAGGGACTGAGGGCATGGTTCCAGGAAGCTGGTTATACTGTCTGTGTACTGTTTGTGGGCCAATTGATGAAACACCAGTGAGGGGGGTGCCCAGTTAAAAACCCTATGAAGTCACAAAGGTCCGACCCACAAGGCTCTGCCCTAGGATGATGGAAGGGCAACGGAAGAGAGCAGTTTTTTTTATCGTCTGAAGGTTAGACCATAAAAGTTGTGAAATAATAGCCTAAAGATAACTTTACATTGATGCTTTGATGCATGCTCCCAAAACCCTCCTAGCAAGTTCAGTTTTTGGACCTCTGAATTTCTACTCGAATACAGCAATGCTGGTGATGTATTCCTAAACAACAGCATCTCTGTATTAAAACACTGTTTCTAACGGTATTATTTTTTTAAAAGGTTAACACTAATCTACTTCATCGTGAATGCATGGGTGTGGTTTAATCCAACTAACAATAATCAAACAACCCAGAAGATTAGATTCAAATATTGTTAACTCCTGATTGGTGTCCAAACCAGCAAAAAGTGACAGAGAAAGACAGAAATCTCTCAATAAATGAATAAAAACTGTTCCAAAAAGAGCCAGAAAATGGCTGTTCTTATATCTGTCATATAGGATCCCATTACTCATAGTTAGAAGGTGATTGAGAATATACATTTTCAGGGCCTTTAAACACAGGCAGTCCTCTCACTGCAGCTTACTGAAAGTAGTTTTTTCAGATACAACTACCTGATGGTGGTGGATGGTCATTGAGACACGGGATCTCATTCTCAAGAGAGACCTGCAAGACAACAGCAGCAATGCAACACAAAGTTAGAGACAGACAGGACGTTCAATACAGAGACAAAATTAAAAAAAAATCATAAAAGTGCCAAAGTGGTAGTCAGATTTTAAATACCATGTACAGGAGTGAACACCCTCTCTCGCGATTTTCATAAAAGTATTTTAAACAGTTCAAATATCATCTGTTACACTGATTTCTCTAGACTTAATGTTAAAAAGTTCAAACCAGGCATCCATGTTTTCTCTATATGTGAGAAACATAGTCATCAGATATGTGAGCCCTGACTGTGTGAAGCAGAAATGTGTCTGAAGCTTTGAAGTAGCTGGAAAAGTGGACATCTTTGTGTTGTCACATGTTTGTCATGTAATAGCTTTGAAAAAGCTTGCATACTTTTTCTTTTGATCTCGTGCTTCTCGGGTAAAATTAGCATAACTGGACCAAAGTCCTGCATGTAAAACTGGGAGGAAAATATACAAAAAGCTAAAAAGTAAAGTTTGAAATATGTAATAGAGGGAATTACAGCATTAGCGAACCTCTCTTTAAAGCTCGATAGACATAAAACACAACATAAAAGTAAAGAAAAGGGAAGTAACAGACTGAATCCAGAGATTGTTTTAACATTAAATAAGTAAATTGAGCTTAAAAAAAAAAACGAATATCAACCACCTTAATCGAGTCAATCATTTCTGAAATGAGATCAAGACAAGATCAAGCTCAGCTAAGATTCGAGGGCCGCCTGTGACCTTGTGCACAAGATAATTTCATGCTCAGCAGATTGATGTTGTTATCTGATCTAAATTGCAGCAGGAGTTATTATGACCCTCAAACGCTGTCGATTCAAAGGAGCAAAAATCGGCTTTATCTGTGTGGCAGATTAATGCTGTGCACATATTCTCTCTCTTAGAGACACTGGACTCTGCACTCAGGCATACCAATCCCTTGAACTTATGAGATAAGATAGCCCAAGTTTATGAATAAAAGAGAAGGCATAACATGTAAGAAAAACGCTATTACTTAGAAGAAAAATGTCTATTTCACTATACATATTCAACTTTTTTGACTATGTTAAAGAAGTTTGTGCTTCAGTCGCAGAGTGAGCAGCATAAAACTGTGATTCTGATGAGGAAATGTCCACTAGGACAGAAAGATGGCGGAACAACAGCGTTTCCTGCTCATAAACATTCTGTTTCATTATGAATCTGTTAACTTAAAAGATGTTTGCTCCTTTTAGATCACCAGATAGCATCTCTGCTATTTTCCAGGCACTCCTCTAACAGATCAGCGGGGAAAGATATTAAGATGATATCCACGACAGAAGAGTCAGATCCACAAATCTCGGGGTACATCAGAGTAAAATATAATGGACTGATGCTGGGAGATAGGAGAAAGATAGAAGCTCCTTTAAACCAGCAAAACAGTAAACTTTAATGTTTGTCCAATACTTTACTACCAGTACTTTGTGTCACATGTCATGAATCAGTTTACAGTTGCCCTAAAGTTAAAGAATTACATATCTGGTATCATTCAGGGTCCTTTGTTGTAACTTAATCTGTATTCAATGATAAAAAAGCTTTCCTGCTCTCAGTTTACTTACTACAATTGTTATTCCCACATTATTCATAATTTGTAAGCGTCAAAGTGCACTCTGCACCCTTTTAAACACACCGTTCAATCAGCCTTTTATTGTGCTTTCCTTCACTCTTGCACTGTGACTGCAGTCCACAGTCTTTTTGCTTCCTCCTCTACTATTGCTTCATAGCCCCGAGGTTCCTATCTGCTTATTGCAGTAAAGGTGCATAGGTGTGTGTGTGTGTGTGTGTGTGTGTGTGTGTGTGTGTGTGTGTGTGTGTGTGTGTGTGCGTGTGTGTGTGAAAGATTAGGCTCACGTGCTGACACTTCAGCACATCTTGCTGTAGCGTGTGTCATTTACACCAAAACACAAAAAGCAGAGGGAGTATCTTTCCACTCATTTTCTCCACCGTTATGGTTGATAAGTCGCTGGCTCTTTTACTATGTAAATCTCAATTAATCTGTAAAAAAACAAATCTTATCTTACGACATGGTAGATCACACTGAGTTCAAGGTTTTCAAATCACAAGTAAGACTTGGCTAGATTTGATTTCTGCAGGCCATGTGAGGCAGTGAATACATATTTTGTGCAGGGGACAAAAGAGATGTGCTTGACACTGGCCCTACCCTCTGTGTCAGTCAATGTGGAATCAGGATGTTGGACCGAGGGGCAGGGCGCTGGGCCTGTTAAATATTGACTGCAAGTGTAATAATTAACCTTCCACCAACTCCTGCTCTCTTAAACTGGCTGCTCTGCCTCGCTGCCATTGCTTCGCCGTCGTTGCTGACATTTACATCTTCAATGTGCCTCCTCTAAGTTCTCTGCTCGCTGTCAATATCGCCCGTCTCAGCTTCATCTGTCTTGGTCCTCTCTGCTCCGTTTCTACTTTTCTGTATCTTCCCCTCTGCTGCTCCGGCCCGGCTCCCTGTGTCACGACACCCTGCTGCTCGTCAAAACCTTTGGCCTCGTCCTGTGAAAGCCACTGGGCCATGTTGCATCTAAAGGTGAGTACAGCCTTTCAACTGAAAACTGAGGATTCTATGTGAAATTTACAGACTTAAAACAATGAACGAGGACAACTCCAATTATTTATTTTTAAAGAAAACCTGACAAAAGGAGGTGGTAAACAAAAAAAACCCTATTTTCACCATAATTTTACCACATTAAAACAGCTCTATGTTGAATTTGTAAGACAAAATCTTTCTTCTCTAACATGCTGAAGACTTTAGAGCTTACATTTTGTGCTCTTTTTGAAAAATGTACACATTAGTGAATAAAACAAACTTGTTGTAATTCTAGTAATTCTCTAACTAATGGTAATGTTTCTATCTTTGAAGAGGCAAAAAGCTGCAATCTGATTGGTCTATTCAACAGAGGAGAAAAACACCATGTACAAGCATATATGGCTTAACAGAGCTGCTAATCATTTAATTGCTTTATTGTTCTGTTTTTCTGTGCAGAGTTTTACTGCAAGGCAAAGTCTACAGAGCTATTACTCCGCAAGCTGAGCAACATGGGATGAAAAAAAGAACAAAATGTATTGCAAGATTTAAAAAAGACAACTCGCTTAGGTTGAAACTGATCGAATATTGATCAACTATGAAGCCAATCTTTTAGTAATTATGAGGACAAATGTCAGTGTAAGCAGGAAATGCGTGGCCTACGGGTACATAGGTCAGACACACCCATATATTCACATATTGAAAAGCGGCCTCATGTTGACAGCTACCATAAAATCTGTGTTATCTATACAAGCTTTGGCCCTTTGGCCGTGCTGCTGGGAGAGTGTGAGCAATGATGCCGTCTACTTCAGGCAATAAAACTGGGAGGAGGAAATTGCTGGGTCAAAGTCACTCTCAAGTGGAGACTCCTCACCTACTAAAGCAGCTGCCTCCGATTCAAAATCCTGAGTTAACCTCGATGCTTTCTCTTGCTCCTTTTCTCCTCTCTCTCTCTCTCTCTCTCTCTCTCTCTCTGTCTGTCACTTTTGATTTCAACTCAGGTATTCCCAGAGCAGCACTCGACCCCCTCTGAAGAATCTGGAAGTGTGGTCTCATCATAGGTTTGTCCATCTGTAACACGACCGCCTTGGAGAACAGGCGAAGCTGTCGGCGATTTGCCTTCTGGTGCTTGCTGGATGTAACAGCAACTCCATGTGGAAGCGGTGTCAGTTCCAGTGGAGGTGCTGTTACCTGCAGAGAGCCACCCAACGCAAGCTCTCATGTTAACAAAGATTGTTTTTTCCCTGGTTCTTGATTCTAGGATGTTTTACTTCAATTGATCGGGAGTCTCGATGGGGCACAAGGTGATGACCTATGAATTGACAGCCAGTGGTTGTTGGCATCTGCCTGTCAGTTCTGTAGGCCACTGCTGTGTTTGTCCTCCTTAACGTGTACAGACATTAACGAGAAGGTTTTTTTTAATTTATTTTTTTGAATCCTTTTTACAACAAATAAAGTCTGGATGAGTTGCTCTGTGCGTGGATGAGTCTGTCATTTATGCCCTGTTGCTGTGTGTAATAATAAAGTGTGTTGCCAAAGAATGTCACTTTAAAATCACAGATTTGCAACTATGCATTTATTATTTAGCTTACTTTGGATATGTATAAACAAAGTAATAACACAGATACCATAACATTACATTATGATATACTAATACTTACAGGATCATTAAAGGAATTGCAAAGATTAAGTTATTTTTTATATTTTTTACAGTTTTAAAGTTAAGTTGAAATGAAACAGAGTGAAATGAGTGCCGGTGCCATTGTTGACTGGCGTTACAGCCCCATGGCAACAAGTTGCCACAGGCTACTTGACATTTGAGAGGCACAGTAATTAGGTTCATTTTCACATGAAGATAAACAAATATATCTCAAAACCAAACCATCAAATTACAATTTGTCAACATGAAAAATTGACTTAACAATGGATGTTTTAATAATATATGATGTTGCAACATGCTATGTAGTGTGTCAGGCTGCAAACAACACTAGTATGTTTGTTTGGTCTTTTCTATGAATAACTATGAAAATGTTACAGAGGATTAAATCTAATTATCTATGTGCTTGAATCTATCCAGGCTCAGCCATAAATAGTGATAATGGGATGTTTCCTATTTCACTATGTGCTAACTGATCAATGAAAAAAGTGCAATGAACAGAAAATATTGATTTAGACTAGGCGAAGGTATGTGCTAAGTGTCACCATGTGGCAGGTAACTGAAGACTAATCTGATCTGAATACCTTCATCAGAGGATATGGGGGTGGAGGGTGTGGTGATTACACACAGTCTATACCAACAGAACTCATGATATAATTCAGTGATCATATTACTACAAACATTCAAATTACTTTGTGTCCTTATAAGTCAAACCACACATTACTACAGAAATACAACAACTCTACTACAACAACTGTACAATGAGACAGATGTGAGGACATTACTTGTTTGCAGGTACACTCTGTGCTGTGTTTTCATTAAATGCAAATTTGTATTGGATTACGCACCAGGAATAAAAACAGTATGACCTGGAATGGCGGGGGCCCTGCAAGCATACACACAAGCTGAAAATGCTGCCTTTGCTGCCACCTAGTAGCACTTGATGAGAGCACACATTGCAGCATTGAATCAGTGTTAGGTGTAGTCAGATAGGCAGCAGGCCTGAAGCTCAAGTGTCAGTGTGGAGTGGTACTTGCAAGATAAGACTACATTTTGACACAGGACCACTTTTTTTTAATGAAGCACAGCTCATTTGGGCAAAATCATGTCAGTGACATTCTGCACCAATCAAATTAATCAAATAACAACACACCAGTTGACACATGATGAACCAAGGAAGATAGCGCCGTTGTTTGGTAGGTATTAATCACTGGAGGTCAGGTTAAAAGGAACAATATCAAAGATTACTCGCACACATAAAGGAAGCTGTGTAACCTGCGCACAGGATTAAAGCGAAGGCGGAAGTGGAGAGGGGGGAGTTATTCTAGTTTCGTGTACTCTTCGTGAATGTAAATAATATATGTCAATGGTTTTCAACGGCAGTGGGGTTTTATTTAATAATCACTCAAACAACACAAATGAATCGAGTGAAATAAAACGTTTCTGTGTCAGTTAATCGATTACACTCAGTGTAACAGGTTTATATGGAGAATCAAATGATGGCTGTATTTTGAGGAACTAGTGATAGAAGAAGAAACACTGATATCCAGCGGCGAGTGGCGGACCAGCACTTCCGTGAAGCGGTTTAACGCGCTAAAACGATTTTCCGGTTTGTAGGAGGGTAGCAGCATGTCTTCCGACAGCACCATGGCCAACGGTAACGGACGAGAGACCGTCCCGAACGGGGAACCGGTCCTTAAGCGGCGGCGGGAGAGCGACCCGCAGGAGCCCCGGAACAAAGTGACCGTCGTGCTCGGAGCGCAGTGGGGCGACGAGGGCAAAGGAAAAGTTGTGGACTTGCTCGCAATGGATGCGGACATCGTGTGCAGGTGCCAGGTACACAGCCACACCGTCGATTTAACTTCACGGTTAACTGTTCAAACTGACCACTTCTACCAACAACGGTGTTTGTAAGAAAGTCGTTAGTTGCCGTTAAGCTTCCGTTAAATATTCATGACCTGGTTCTGACGTCGACAGCCTTGTCAGAGCTCCCGGATGTGGATGTGCTAAAATGGTGCTGGTGACGACTGTTTAACCTAGGAGCCCCTCCTGGGCTCAGCTGCTTAATGAAGGAGCCATGTGTTAATCTGTGCTCTGGTTTACTGTAAACTGGGCTCTCGGATTTATAATGGGCGCCCACCGGTGTGTAACCCGAACCCACGGGCGCACTGGGCCGGTAGCCAGCCGCGGGAGGCCCCGTATGGCTTCCGGCCAGGAGATGTCACTGTACAATAAGGAACAGCTGCAGTCATCTGTATCATTTAGCTTCTACCCGCATACATTTATTATCTGAGCCAGACATCATAACGATTCATTTAAAATACTGCCTATACCACTAACGCACCACCGATAGTAGGGTAAGCACAGGTCGCGTTCCGTTTAGTGTAGCAGAGTCTTTACATTGGCCCCATCGTCCACAGCAGCAGCACCCGGACTCTGTTTGACCTGGATTGAATGGAAGCTTAATTAGTATTTTGAGTAACATCTGTGATTACCCTACTGTTTCATGTCAGAATGGCTGCTGTGAAAAAGGTCTTTACACAAATGATACCACACATGGTATAATCATTCCTAATGTTACACCATGTGTGGTGTCATTTGTTTACTGTTTACACATGATGTAGCAGAAGGGGTGTAGTAAGTGTAGGCAGAGGTGAGTTGTTGTGAAATGCTCGACCAGAGATTATAGTGGAGGAATAAACACGGTGGACCATCAGAGCTTTGACTGGACCTCACTCAGGGAACTTTATTGACACACATTAACATATACACACACAGCACACCACAGCAGTCCCAGTGCATCTCATTGGCTGTTATCATTGTCCGTCATACAGTACCTGCATTAATATGTATGCCTACTGTTTGTGACACTACAGCATAAAGATTATGTTTCCCAATTGAGAGCATACTTTTCACACATGTTAACAGTAAGATTTGTGAATTCATTGTTATGATGTCAAGTAGATGGAAGTTGTTTCTTACTGAATGGCAACATGTTTTTGCACAGAAGCCGGCCTCCTGCTGCTGGCTACCAGCCCAGTGTGTAAACCGAGAGTACACATTTTCACATGGCTTTTTTTTTTTTTTTCTTTCTCTGAGCCCAGGGAGGTTTCTCATGTTTTTTTATCTGCTGCCGTGGAAGCAAAATGTGTACTGAATCCAGTGAATGACCTCCACATACTGATAACCATATCCAGTGAATGTAAGGTTATGTAAGGCACTGACCGGCCATTTTCACCCAGCTCGTCCTCTGCCTCTCCGCAGTAACCCAGTGACATTAATCGTTTTTTTAATCTTGTAACTAAAGCTGACTGGACCGTCACTGAAACGCAGGCTGAGGTGTTACACAAGAACGGGACACAGTCCTCACTGTTAATGGATTCTTGTTTACGTGCCCTCATATCAGTGTTGTCTCTTCAGAAAAATGCCTAGTAGCAAGTTGAATGTATGTACTGTTTACAGGGAGGCAACAATGCAGGTCACACGGTGGTTGTGGACTCTGTGGAGTACGACTTCCACCTGCTGCCCAGTGGAGTGCTCAACAAGAAGGCCGTCTCCTTCATCGGTAAGAGATAAAACATGTTGTGTTTTGAAAGACTTGAAGTTGGCAGGAAGATAAAGATCCCAATAAAACATCAGTATGTGACCATTATCAGGGTGAAAACCACAGCAGACAGTCTTATCAGTTATGTGTCCACTTTATGGACTACATGGCTGTTATATGACACTGTTTACAGTTTATTAGGTACTATACACCTAACTAAAAACTAATACAGCACTGGCCTGTCCTAAATGCTACTGGCCATTTTTTCAGAAACATTGTGTTGGCCTCATTTCTATCAATGAGGGTACACTAAATAACAGAAGCACCTCTCAGTGTAGCACTATAGGGTTCAAACTACCACCTCTAAAATGACCAAAAAACTGAATGAACATCTCTTCTGCATTTTCTCTTTTTGGTTGCTATGTTGTTCCATTACTGTGAAAACATAAACTGAGAAAAGGGCAAACATAAAAAGGAACACTTGTGTTATATAAATAAACCTCAGGAAAAATATTAGCAGTTTGTTACTCATAAACAATTGATACGATGAAGTTATTTCTCTCTGGGACTGTTAAAGTTTTATTTTACATTACAGGCAACGGGGTGGTGATACACCTGCCAGGTCTGTTTGATGAGGCTGAAAAGAACCTACAGAAAGGCAAAGGTAATGTTTTCTAAATGAGGTTGATGCAGTGATATGAACACTTCTTCCTGTAGAAAGCACTGTCAGTATCAGTAAATAGGCGTTTTCCACAGAAGTAATGTGGGATTTGTTTGTACTGCTTGCAGGACTGCAAGGATGGGAGGAGAGATTAAAGATTTCTGATCGTGCCCACATTGGTGAGTATGCATTCTCTCATTCAGGTTTTAGATTTGGGAATATTCTCTTATTGACGATCCCGTCTGTCCGCCTCTAGTGTTCAACTTCCATCAAGCAGTCGATGGAATCCAGGAGCAGCAGCGCCAGCAACAAGAAGGGAAAAAGTAAATCTGCCCTAATTGGTTTTTAAAAATCGTAAACATCTTTACTTGGTGAAGTGTATATTATGTTCTGTTCTTGGGTTGGAGTGATTTTTTTTCTATCTTCTATTAAATAGTTTATTATGCTTATTAATGTTGTGTTTCTATATGTTCTCCAGTTTGGGAACCACTAAAAAGGGTATCGGTCCTGCCTACTCCTCCAAAGCTGCCCGGAACGGTCTGCGAGTCTGTGACCTTGTCTCAGATTTCAAGGTTTTTGAGGAAAAGTGAGTTTTCTTTAATTTTCTATGATCTAAAATTAGATAAATTGTCGAAGACTGGTGGTGGGAACCCCATATCAATGTTTAAAATCCCTATTCCAGGTTTAAAGATCCCTTTAAAACATACATGAAGACACACTGAAACAGTCAGCTTGGAACAGTAATGTGTGTGTATTTTTTCCACAAAAAAGTATAATTTCCATATTAAGATCCTTTAATAAGGCATCTACTCCTTTTAAAAATTCCAGAAAGGGAGGAAAATATTAACACATCAGTCCAAAACCTACTCTCAAATACATCATTCTGCAGGGTTAAGCACAAACATCAGACTGTAGAAACAGGAAGAAAAATTTACATTTTTCTTAAAACTTGAAAGAACCAACCAACCACATTTTCTACATTTATGGGGCGACATGATTGACATTAGCGTCCTAGTTCACAGTGAGTAGATTTATTTGTTAGATGTCGTAGTTCTGTCAGTAATTGTAGAGCCAGTATTTTGTGCTGCCACCAGGTGGCGACATCTGGCTGTGGTACACATGTGAAAACTGCTTGCTCTCTGCTTTCATGCATGCATTAAGGTAGACCCTTTTTTAAAATTGATGGCTCCATTCCTTTAAGTGTAAGATGTGTCAGTGAGTGAGAATGGAAAAGTCCTTGAACACGTAAATGGAATGCAGCCATCATTAATGTTATTAATTCCACCTGTGCTTCTCCTGGTTCAACGAGTCAATATGTCTGCTGTGAAAAGGGTCTATAACCTGCCTGTCATGTATATCATGTTGTGAAATTAAATTGTGGGGGTAAATTTGCATGCAGAGGGCTGCACATAGACTTAAATGAACATATAAGCTAACTCTTTACTCTGTGCTCCTTACAGGTTCCGTATGTTGGCAGACCACTTCCTAACCATGTATCCAAAGCTTAACGTTGACATTGACGGGGAACTGAAGCAGCTGAAGGTGAGGACAGGTTATCGTGTCAGGACATACTGACACCTGCCTGGCATTGATATTGTGACAGCAGATGTTTTTCACAAAAGACATGGTGACATGTCACAGCAGGGAAAGCACGGGTGTAAATAATAAAATGAATTATGGCTGAATATTTGTGCTGGCTCACTGCCACACTGGCATGGCTCACTGGGATTCTTGAACAGAAAAGAGCCATCATTAATATCATCAGTAACACCTGTGAATTCCCCACTATGACAACTTGAAACGTGAATTTCTCATGACATTCAAGCTTGAGAGTCATGAACAGCTCCTTTTTTAAAATCAGATTTTCAATGAGCACAGTGAAACTTTGAGCAGATGGATGTGAAAACATCAAACTTATGTTTGAGCTTCACTGTGCAGAATGATGTATGAGCAGAAAAGCATATTTTTGAGCGGAATATGACGACATTACAGTAATCAAGATTGTTTAACTACTAGTTCCCTATGACGAGGATGTGTATTTCTTCTCACTCGCAGTTTGAATGGATGACTGTTGGAGTTGTAATTGGCATTTATTGTTGAACAGTATTCAGTGTTTTCATTGTTTTTAGTAAACAGTTCAGTTCACACACACACACACACACACACACACAATAAGTTAACAGATTTCAAACAGATGCTCTAAGAATGTGTGTTTTTCAGGATTACACAGAAAGACTGCGTCCCCTCGTGACTGACGGGGTGTACTTCATGCACAAAGCTCTCAATGGACCCAGCAAGAAAATCCTGGTGGAGGGAGCCAATGCTGCTCTCCTGGATATTGACTTTGGTGAGCAACACAGGGTATTGTGGAATTAATTATGAAGATGGATGGATGTTTTGCCTCCTCAGGTTAACAAATATGTCTCCGTTCAGGGACGTATCCTTTCGTGACGTCTTCCAACTGCACTGTGGGAGGAGTGTGCACTGGTCTCGGCGTGCCTCCGTCATACGTTGGCCGAGTGTATGGTGTCGTCAAAGCGTACACCACCCGGGTGGGCGTTGGTGCTTTCCCCACAGAGCAGGATAATGTGAGTTAAAGACACGTCTGAAAAAAGTCTGTTATTCAGTGTGATGATAAAGATCCTGCTGATTAGAGATAAATGTTATGAAGGTGAAAAGTCGTCGATGTTGTCATTAAAGGATCAAATTGATCACACTCAGGCGCTCAGCAGAAGCTTTTTGTAAAATAGCCAACATACTCCACTGGGGTGAGATACTGGATGTGTTATTGTCAGATTACCACACTCACAACAGCCAAGCACATTCAGTCTTAAGATGGCAGCAATGGAGATCATTAGGAAAATGTTCAGGGAAAAACAAAAACTATTTATTAAATACTATTTCTGATAATATATAACATCACTAACTTACTGATGATGAAATATTTTTCTATATGGGTGGGTTGGATTTGTTGACATTATTTATTGGTTCCTAATAGATTTAGGTTTTTCCTCATTCTGAAAAAACTTGAACTGTAAAATAAAGGAACCAGGACAATAGTAAGTTCCGGTTTGCCTACAAAAATATGTCCCTGCAGCACTCTTTACCCTTAAAAACCCCAGAAGATTTGCTGTATTTTTTTATTTGGAACAATATATTACTGAACCAATTATAACAATTATTTTCATTATCTATTATTCTGTCGATCATTTTCTCAATTAATCGATTAGTTGTTTGGTCCATAAAATGTCACTGAAGAAAATCACTGTTTCCCAAAGCCCAGATGTCCTCAAATGTCTTGTTTTGTCTGCAACCCAAAGAGTTTTTCTTTAGAGGACTAAAGAAACCAGAAAAGACTCAAAGCAGTTAATCAATTTATCATTATAGTTGCTGATTAATGTAATAATTGACAACTAATCGATTAATGTGAAAAATGCTGCATAGCTCAGCAGTGCTGCACAGAGGTGCTGAGTAAATCCTCTCCCCTGTATGTTCAGTAACTTCTCAATTTAAGCTCACAGTACCCAGCGTGTAGCTATTACTCATTTACTCCATAAATTGAGAGGAGATGTGATTAGACAGCAGAGGAGAGTAGTTGAAGTTACCTGACATCCCATGTTGTCCCAGTAATGCAGATTCTGTGAGCCCAACAGGCCTCAGTGACATCCTCAGTTTTCCAGGTATTGTGGTCAGCTTCAGCCTTGAGGTTGCAGAGGCAGACTTGTGGTCAGATCTAGGTTAGTTCAAATCTCTGAGACTGCTGGGAAACCTTTTTGTGGTAAGAAAAATTCTGCCACTGATGTGCACTTTATCAAGAGAATTGTTGCTGCTCAGTGGTTGACAGTAGGGGATTGTGTTTGTGCTGGGAAGTGTTCACATGTGAGTGTGTGTGAAACTGAAACAGGATGTTACTGGAAAAGAGCTCGCTTAACTATCCCTAGAAGTCCAAACACGCTGAATCAACACAATCTCCCTTAAAATGGAAGTAAATATGATTGATTGATTTTGAAAGTTTTATTTATTTTCTCACACAATTGACGGTGTGTGCTTCTTGTTTGTTGTGTTTTAGGAGACTGGGGACCTGTTACAGTCCAGAGGGAGAGAGATTGGTGTGACGACGGGCAGAAGGAGACGCTGTGGTTGGCTGGACCTGATTTTGGTCAGATACGCCCACATGGTCAATGGCTTCTCTGCGTAAGGAACCATCACACCATTTCAGAATACTATCCTCACCTGCTGTTGTAATTACTGGAGTGACAGTTTACAGAACTCAACAATAAGGATTGCTGGCCTACAAGTAAAATACCACATGGGGTAAAAAAACAGCAACTTTGAATTAAAAATTGACTTTGGGCATGTAGCAAAAAAACATTAATGTTGAACCCTGGACATGAGATCCATCATGCACTCTGACAGTCCATTGTTATCAGAGTTGCACATAGTGACTTATTTATTTATGTTTTGTAGAATTGCCCTGACGAAGCTGGACATTTTGGACACGCTGCCGGAGATTAAAGTGGGCGTGGCCTATAAGGTTGATGGAAAACCTCTGCCAAGTTTCCCAGGTAGGACGTTTCTACTTGTTGTATAGAAGTGCTCTGTGTCTGCCCATTACAGAAAAATAATATCAGATGTAACAATTACTTCAGATGAGGTTTTAGTGTTGCTTTATAGTAGGGGGCAGAGTTTAATGACTGTAGGGCTGCAGCTAATTATTATTTTCATCTGTAAAAATAGTAAAAGGTTGCCACTCAATGTGATGTTCATATAGCCTTTTGTTTCTGACCTACAGTCAGACACACCATTTTCAGTGATGTATAGTAAAGCAGCAAATCCTCACACATTTGAGAAGCTGGAAGCAGTGAATGTTTGTTATTTTTACTGAAATTAAAGGCTTAGATCATTTTATAATTGATTAATAATCACATTTTTGCACCTGATGGCTGCAATGCATGTTTGGTCCTTTGGCATGGTTTGACCTTGATGTCCTAATATTGAATTGAAAATACTAATTTATCCACAAAAGTGTTAATACCAGAAACATAACTGCTGTAAGCACAAGAGAGGACCTGCCTCTACTGAAAAAGATTATTTTCAGAGCTACTACTTGGAAGTTGGTTATAGGTAAATAAACAGCTTTTATGCTCTTTAATGTCTTATTTCACATGGGTCAGCTTTTACTTGCAGGAAATGGTACAGCTGGGCTTTTTGAAAATCTGTTTTGCAGCAGATTTGAAGAGGTATTTATCTTGTGTATCTCTCTGCTTTTACCGCCAAATGGAGCAAATTGAATTGTTAAGCTAATGAGCCTCGGGAGGATTAAAAACCCCCCCCCCAATACGACACTGCAGCTGCTCTCGGCCTGCATTTTAACACTGATTTCCTTTATACATTGATCATTTTTATGGTTGATGTGCTGGATGTTTGAAGTGGCTCTTCTTCTTGATCCCGATCTGGTTGTGCTACAGTCTTTAATTGTATGTACACGTAGGAACAAGAACAAAAACATTTCACCTTTCACTCAATGTTTTTGATGTGCTTCCACTGTAGCAAACATGGACGTTTTGACGCGAGTGTCAGTGGATTACCAGACGTTTCCCGGCTGGTGCTGCAGCACAGAGGACGCTCGGAGCTTCAAGGATCTGCCGTCACAGGCACAAAATTACATTCAGTTCATCGAGGACTTCCTGCAAGTGCCAGGTCCGTAAAAAGGCACTTTACATTAATGCAGAGAAAGCAGCCAAACTCTTCTTCGCTTTGCCAAAACCTGCCACTCACAACTTTTTTTTTCTCATTTCAGTGAAGTGGGTTGGAGTCGGCAAGTCCAGGGAGAGCATGATCAAACGGTTTTGATCCGTCCGCGGACCTGAAGTCCTCCTCGACGACAGCTCAGATAATAATTTCAGGTTTTGATAGGATTGACAGAGGAATTTAAAATGCAAACGCTTATCCTAAAGGAAAAACTTCACCAGCAAGGCTATTTGTGAAACGTTTAGTTGCTGCTTGTCCATCACATTTACAGTAATTCTTAGATGTCATTTATGCATTCCACATGTTGTTTTCTATATTTATAAGAGCGTTCATTTTTAAAACCTGGTGCAAATGGATCAACCTTTCCTTATTCCATTCCACAGTAAAGCACGGTTCAGTTCTGTAGCATTTGAGGCTAATTAACCTTAATTGATATCTGTTTGTCCCATATATGAAGAGCCATGGATTAACAGACGTAGAAGCATTCATTTTAAAGGGTGCCACAATAAAGCAAAAGATTATTTTCAGGCTTTGTAATGAAATGGATAAATGATTGAAAGCCATCATGCAATCAGTAGATTGTGAACTTTTTTTATTTTACAATTTTAAAAAACTTGAAAAACATGAATGCATCTCAGTTGTTAAGTTTGTAGCTATTTTCATGATTGTTGGAATGAATAAAGTGGTTTTTAAATCATCATCAACATAAATCAACACTAAACAACTTGAGTTTGAAAAGATATTTTCTTCATAATATTTGTGTAAAAGTAAATAGAAATCTCACGTCCACACAGAAACATTGACTGGTGTTGTAGAAGTTTGTGTAAATGTGAAAAAAATGGCAAACGAGCAGTATTGTATTGAGTACATTCCATATTTCCTACGCCATTTCATTCATTTTGTCAATAATGTAAAAGACTCTTACTGTGTTTTACTCTTATCAATAAAAGGAAACTGTAACATTTAGTGGGTGTTTTTTAAATGTCTCACATGTCTGATACACAGCTACAGTTTATTCTCTTTATATGAATATTCTACGGTTTTTGTAGGAAAAGTAAAATAACAGGACCAACAATTATTTCATTTCTGGTCACTGCTGTCATATTCATCATGAGTTGAACATGATCCTTTTTAAAAAAATGCACTGGCCCACATGAAATCTGCACCTTGGATGATGTGTGATGCATCTCTAAATCAACTTTAAAGCTGCCTTAATCAATATTTTTATGTTAAAGACTGATCAAATGGTTATGCATAATATGAATGGAGTAGCTTGTATTGATAATCAGAGAACTATGACCTCAATGCTCCCCCCTAAGTAGTCAACTATTTGCCAAAACATTCCCTACATCCACTTTACAAGGTGATAATTTGTCAAATTTGTGTTCACAGCTTGTTGTTCTGACCCCAGGTGGCCAGAAAAATATATTATATAGTAATAGTAAATGCAGGTTTAAAGGAATCTACCAACAGAAAATCTACCATTCTTGAAGTTGCTAAAATCATTTATAATTCAGGATCCTACAAGCAACAGATAAATGGACCCCATTGTTCAAAAGGCAGATCGAGAATAAAGGTTTTTGGGGTCTTTTTTGTGTTATGTATTATATGTTGCATTTACTGAGCAGGACATTGTCAGTGCTTTTTGTTAGAATGTATGTATGTATGTAATGGGGACTCTGGTATTTCTGTGCTGTCATTTCCTATTACTCATAGGTTCACAAACGTATACACTGACCAATACTGATATCTTCAAAAGGCTAAAGTCAGGCAAAATTCGTCAAGCAGATTTATCAATTTAATTATTAAAAAACAGTTTTAAAGAGATCCCTAACAGTGGCTTTGGTGCAGACTTAAATGAAAGACCTCTTCAATGATGGTAACTAATTATCCTGCTGATTAAATTGGGCAGAGAAGTAATTTCCTCACCAAAAGGCCTCCTCCTCCTCCTCCTCCTCCTCCTCCTCCTCCTCCTCCTCCAGTATGACGGAACTGCCACACATCTGCAGAAATATTAGTTGTTGCTTTTTAAAGGGAGGCATGCTGGGTAGTAGACACATATTCTCCCCTGCACCTTCGCACACCTTTCAGTCAGCCAGTAATAATTTTTTTATCTCTCTCTTACTTTACACCCTCCTTAGTTATGCTGACTTCCTCTCACAATTTAAAAGCTTTTCAGGACCGGGAGGGATTAGATTAAAGTATAAAGTGGATTCCCTGACAAATCGATTGGAGGTGTAACAGCGGAGCTTCCCAGATATTCTAGGGTTTCTAATGCATTAAAGGCCCTGCACACCCACACAGGTATTTTCAGCTATTCAGGGCTGATTAGACCGCAGGTTGATATTGGGCAGAGATATGTTTGGAAGTAATGTAATTATAGTCTGCATATAACAAAGGTTGAAAAAGTTGCTACGTGTTTTACCAAAACTTACAGAACACTAAAAATAAAACTTGAAAATATACCAAAAGTTTGTTGGGCCTTCAAACTGCAGATCATTTGTCATCAGAAAAAACTATTCAATCTCAGTGTTTTCTTTGCTTTAATGAATAGGACTTTAGAGCACAAATTATATTGATTATGAGAAAATACAGAAAGTGGTAAATTATTAAAATTACATGAACAACTTTTGAATCTCAGCTCATTATGGAATGTTTCATCATTATTAGTTTATAACTTTTAATTGAGTTCAATTTTATTTCATCATAGACATTTTTTATTTCCCTTTAAACAGGAACCTGATGATCATTCTGCTGTTTTATAAAATCTCATTTAATTCAAACCAAGACATGTCTTTTTTCTGATTCCGCCCCATTAAATAAAAATGCTGTTTTTCTGATGTTTTTTATACTATGTTGAAAGTGCATGTTCCGTTATATGAGCAAAGTTGCAGACGTTTGCTAACCAATCAATTTCCAGTCCAAGAAGTCCCTGCATCATCAAAAATGGCAGAAAGTGAACTTACAGTAGATGCAAGAAGGCTTAATTGAAAATAAAGTGCTCATAATAGCGCTGTAGTCCTCCTCCCCCTCACGTTTCTGCATGTCCCCCTTCCTCTCTCTCTTTTGTTTACTACCACCTTCCTTGTAATTGTGAGCACATTTATCATCAGGTCAATCAATTTGAGCCTTTTATTCAAGTGTAGCCTCTTCTCAGATGTTCATCCCTCTTCAGGTCTCTTTCCAAAATCTGCCTCTTGTTTTTCTCCACTGGCTGGACCTTAATTAATTTATTTTCATATCGCCAACTAAACCTCTCATTAAATCAAAAGGACATCTGAAATTGAAGCCATCAACCTACAAGAAGTAAGGATTCTTTTTTATTTTGCATTTTCTTTCTTGATTTTCTTATTTCTTTGCATGTGTGATCAGGAACTTGATGGGTTTCAAAGCGGATTGTGTGTATCACATGTTGTGATATGACCAGAAACCAATGAAGCAGATACCAGAATTATTAATACGCTAATAATATTAATGATAAGAAAATCTGCCTGTGAATACTACCCTGGATAAGAATGTCCATTGTTATTGGTAGTACAGCATGACCTCTTTCAGTGTAAACTATATTAATGTTTGTATTTTGTTAGTGTTTTTCCATATTTGAACTATTTACAATGATGAAAACTCAGGAGTTTTATCTGACTATGATTTATGCAGTAGGAAGCAAAGTTTTTTGTGAGTGATGCAAAAACCACCAAATGTTGCCTTTCTTGCAGTATTCTCTCTCTGTGTGTATCCCATTGAGCTTTCTGATTAACATTGAACACTGCATTTATTTCCCCTCAGAATAAACAATCATTCCTTCTTTTGTTTCCACAAACCTTCCTCATACTGCATTGTGTCATGATTTATGTAGCCAGAGCAATGAGACACCTGTTTCATTGCAGTTGGACTGTGCTCAGTTTTCATAAGAACAGGGAGACAGCAGCTCTCACACAGATTGAATTGAAGGAGCTAAATGTGTTTAACAGTTTATTTGGTGAGTGCATAAAATAAATCCAATTCTGCTGCTCAGCAAGTAGAGATCAGGTACAAAGTATTTGCTGGAAAAGATGGAGAAAGATATGTCAAGTTCTATCTCATTACAACATACATATACTCATTTGACAAATGCATCTAAATACATTACAGCACAATGTACTTGTCTAATGTGTTGCTATGATATATGCATTTCTAATTGTTGTTTGTTACTTAAACCCAACTACCGTAATGTAATAAGAGATCATTTGTTTATTACAACTAACATTGTTAATACATGTGCACATCTTACCTAACTAGTAAACAAAATATGTGGGCGCTATAATTGTTCGTATAGGCTGAATGACATACAGCACAAAAGTGGAAATTGTACAGGATATCAGTGTTTTCTGGTTTTTGGTACCTGATATAAACACTATTCTGTACCTCTACAGTCACACTATTTATTGATACATGCTAGTATATGTAAAAACTGCATTGATCCATGTTTCTATGTTATATGAAATCCCACCTCTTTCAGTTCATGTAAAGAGTATAAGAAAAAAAAAGTTGCCAACTCATCTTTCTCAGTAGGGCGTGTCAAACATTTCATCCAATCCGATGTGAAAGAAAGATCTGCAGTTGTGCTGATCAGTAAGGCGACATCGTGCGTATGTGGGTGGCAGCTGTGTTTGTGATTAATACATATGTGTGACTTGTTTGTCCAATAAACAGAAGAAAATGTATGATCTCTTTAATTAAAATATATAATAGAAACCATTTTGGTTGAATTTTCTCACTGAGTCATGCTTAAAATCAACAACCATATTTTAATACAGGGATGCAACATCAGGTAACATACAACATTTAATATGTTTTAACTATATCATATAGATATACATATCTTCTCTGTAAATCACAAGTCCTATGTTGTCCTTTGAGAAAAAAATCTGAAACCAAATGAGAGAAAATCTAGCACTAAATTCATGGCAAACCAATATTTTGTCCTTATGCAGTAACACTAAGACAGCGTTGCAGTTTCACTGCTGTGTCTTTTTGATAAGTTGCACTTATAGTTTGGTGAGAAACATGGTGTCATGCTTCATTGAGGACCTTTGTCATTCTTTGTGGTAAGCAGGCAACTGTAGTGATCAAACTCCTTTCCAGAGGCTTTGAACAACAATCACATTAGCTATCCCGCTAAAGCCTCTTTCTTATCTAACCTACAGACATAAACACATGTCCCGTCCTTCACCTTAGCTCGTTGGAAGACCAAACAAACAAACATTAGTTAGTTAGTTAATTAGTAAAACATTTTACTGCTTAGTTGGAGTAAAACATCATGTAAGCATAGCTGTAAATATGTCTTCAGTCCGTTTAAAAACCGGTGTGATTGTAACTATTTAGTACTACTGCTAACAACACGCTGTCTACATTATACTTGTAAGCTCCAGCACAACTTTGTTAACTTCGTTGTCCTGCTGGGGCTCAGTTTGCCAGATGCTACCAATTAAACACAAAAAGAGAGAGATATATAGAGAGATATATACCCAAATACCATTTTTCCCCATACAGAACTATTTGAAAAATAAAAAGTAAATAAATATCATGTTGACATTATTCTAAATGGGATTTCAGTTAGTCAGTTAAACTGTAAAGCTGTCAAATGTGACATTTACAGACTTATGTGCAAATAAGTATCAAAATCAGTCTTTTCCTATGTTCAAATAGCCTCTGGCCGTTACAGATTTTCAAAAGATTTCATAGAGAGTTGCAGTGACACAGCAGAACAGCTTCACACCTTCGTCGCTCAGTAACATCCAACCACACCAGTGAGCTAATGGGATCACTCGATCTGCTCCCAGCAACCTGCTCTTCTGTCATGGCCTGTCGCAGTTTTCTACCACCTCTCACTTCACAGATAGAAAATGTAGAGACAAACCAACAGCACAGAGCTCCTTCAGACCACTTTCTTTGAATTATCACAGGTATCTTATGTTTGACGGTGCCTTTATGATCTCTGGCTATTCTCAGCTGTGTTAAACTTTGCCTGCTTGCAAAATGACATGTACAAGTCCATGTTTCTCTGTCCTCACAGCTAAAGAATATTTTCCTGCTCTGTTACTGTCAGTGGTGGCTGCCAGGGTACTGTGCCAGGGCAATATATCAGGCTAAAGGGGATGAGCCGAGTTATTGTTTCGAGAGGAACTTGGACTTGGAATTGGAGCTGGTACAAGTAACAGCACAAGGTCACTATAAAAGGATTAAACATGGCATCCAGACAGTAACCATATACCCCAACAAACAACCAGTCTCTGAGTGAGTGAGTAAAAAATTACTTTCCACTCCTGATTAGGATGAACTATTGAATGGAGATTTCTAGGATTGTTTGAGTAATTATTGATTAATTACCACCATCCCAGCTCCCCACCCAGCAGCTACAGGAGCAGACTCCTGATCTGCTTTGTGGTCAGAAGCAACAACATTGATTGTCTCCAGAGGGAACATGGGTTTTCTCCAAGTAATACACACAAAATTCATTAAATCCTTATTCACAAAATTTCAAATAAAACGTAAACGTTTTCCTTTAAAATAGCTGTTTAGCTGAGTAACAGCAGACTAATATATCTGATCTCCACAGACAGTGATGGTTGGCTCTGACTGAGCAACATCTTGGGTGTTCGCCAACTTGTCTTTATAACTTTAGTTTAGTCTGTGCGGCCTGTCTCTCTTTCTGTCTTTTACTATTTATTAATATGATCTCCCTTTGGTAATCTTGTATGCCAGTTAATTGACATTATTACTTATTAGGGTGTAAGAAAATATTGAATATAATAATAATAATATAAAAAATATTGTATCGCAATATTGTGTTTGGTGATATTGTTGATTCTCAAAAACACTGTATCAGTATTTGTGTTCAAACCCCAAACTGCTAGATAGCATTGTTGTAAACATAACTGAGGGCTGTGACGGATGTGACTGTGCTAAAAACAAATGAAGATCCCACCGTGCTGGTTGCATTAAAAAGTCAACTTGTTTACTCTTTTTTTGGGACATATGATGGTGTGTTCTTTATATCATGACAGTTTTCCTCAAATTTGTATTGTGATACATCTCGTAGCTGCAGATTCTTGCCAATAAACAGCTCTATTACTTATACTGTTTATACAGCAGCAATAACAGTGGCAATAACAGTATAGTAAACTGTCATTAGAGAACATCTATTCCCATTTACGTGGTCAGGTTTACAGTAGAACAGTGCCAAAGATATGAGAAAAATGTTTATTATTAGTTATGCAAGCAGCATGACCCCTCACAACGTCAGTCTGTCAGTCCACAACATTGGTTCTGACTGATCATCTCTCAATGACTTCTGGATGGAGTGCCACAAGTTTGTAGGACTTTTCAGCTAGCTAACATGATAAAACTACGATGGTAAACATGGTAGACAGTACACACAGACACTAATAGTAGCATTTAGCTCAAAGCTACTTGCACTGTGCTGAAGTACAGCCTCAAAGAACCGCTAGCATGCCTGAACACTCTCAAATGTTGGAAACAAAAAACGAAACTAATATTTATTTTGATTGGGCCGAACAGACTGTAGTGAGACAAGATGTAGTGAAACTGTGTTAAAGGGGAACAAAAATTACAACTATACATGTGATAACGATAACCTGAGGAAAACCATCTCACTGATTTGAATAGATGTAACCAATGACACTATTAAACTTTGAAACCAGGAGTCAGAAATCAGCAGCAGAAATTTCCTGACCCGGCTGGTGCTAATGATGCCTGAGAGTTCACTTCAGTCTGAGAAACCTTTATCCCCACCCCTGTGAACACACGCAAACACACACACACACACACATACACACACACACACACACAGAAAGAGAGCAGCAGCAGTTCTGTCAAGCAGCTTGTGAGGATATTGAGAGTAGGGTGAAGGGTGGCTGAGCTGGCTTCCCCCTGCAGAGTCTGCAACACCAATCGGATGAATCTCAAACATTAATCCCACAGAGATATTGACAGCATGCGGAGATATGACTGCAGCCCCTGCTGCCGCACACTGCAGTTCAACACTAACTCACAGGAGAAAACTGTGAAATATGACAAAGTGATCGAAAACTGGAGTCTGAAGACACAATAAATCCACAACCTGGGTCTATCCTCATCATCATCTCCACCTTCATTTGTGCAGCTCTCTCTCTCTCTCTTTAATTCACTCCCTCACTCTCTATATAGTCAGTTTGATTGAGTATCTTTTTCTCTCCTGTGTGCTCAGCAACAGCCTCCCTCCTCACCCCACACTCAGACACACACACTCATGCTCTCACACACCTCCCTGTATGCAGCTGCCTGAACTCGTGAAACACTCTGCATGAGGCGACTGGTACACTGGGTTCTTATGATCCTTCATTTTGAGGTAAGCACACACGGGCTGGACTGTCTGGCGCATTGGTCAGTACCTTACATCTCAAGGACCCAGAGGGACTCTAAGTGGTAATAAAATGGGATCACTATGGCTATGACTCGGTTGCAGCAGCTGCACTGTTGGCACTTAATGCAAGCCACATTACAATTTCCTTTTGTCTGGCGGTGTATAATCTGTCTGTTTTACAGTCTGTGCTCTAGATAAACTGCATATTAGTGTAATGCATCTTGTTTGGTATATGTTGATAGAGGCTGGATGAGCAGTGTGTACATTCAAATGTTCTACTTTGGCCAGAATATGCTACAATAATGTATTTGGTGTTAAACAATTATTGATCATTGTGTTCTCTAATTAATTCATGAGCTATTGAACTGTACTGTTGTTCTACAAATGCAGAAAATGTATGTAAGAACTAGGCATTTTCAGTAATCTTCTGCCAATATAGGCTTGAGTTTTACATAAATTGCTAACTTTTGGTTGCTATGTGTTCAATTTAGTAAGTGGACAGTTCCTGTAAAACAGTTTGAGGAGCAAGTGTATATTTTGCTGTCACCGTGTGACAGTTTATTGGTCTAATTTTGGATGAAGACCAACAGATCTGCTGACTAAAGAGCTGCAGTCACAGAACTTTGGAAGACGGGAGCTTGTGTTTTTTTCTTTTATTCTGGCTTGTGGTCCAGTGATGCAGAGTGACTTGCAAGCGGCAGGCCCACTGGTCCAAATGATAAAAGTCCTCCTCTCTTTAATCATTTCCGAACAATTATGAAACAAAGGGAGTGTCTGACACATCTATCAGTTTCTCGGCTGCATTGCTTTAACAAGGTAAAGATGCATCAGAGTGCAGAGCCTTGGCTCCAGTTTCAGGCAGAGAATGCTTTCTTGGTTTGAGCCGACAATGACCAACATCATCACACCGAACCAGGTTTCACCACTGGACATCACTCATCTAAGGCTTCTGCTTCTTCTGTGCTTACAAACATTCACAGCTCTCTGAAGTTCCTATCTGCTTTTTTTGGAGGTACCCGCACTACTATATTTGTTTCCCAGCTGCTGATCAGTATCACCTAAAGGACATAAATCTAAAATGAGGCATCGTTCTCATCCAAAACTGGGAACTCACCCTTTTTGTGTGACACTGCCACGCCTGATAGCTTCAACTTGTTGTTGATTGTTTTTGTCATCGAGGATTATCCTCCCTACTGACAGCTTTTGTGTTTTTGAGGAAGTGAATGTTGTTCTTATCTTACTTGAAATCTTTAATGTAAATGCTGCTAATACTGAATTGCCATATGGAAATGTGTCTCTGGCTCTATCTAGTGTCCCCTCCTTCAGAGTGTGAGGTGGACGGGCTCCCCAGTAGTTACGGATCCAGGGACGCCATCCTCAGGTCTGGGTCGAGGAAGGACTGGAAAAGACGAAGGCGTGGGCAACTAACGCGGATCAGCAGGTAAGCTCAACTATTGTGGGTGCATCTGTCTTCAATCACATCTGTTCGATGTGTGAGGCAGGCCCGATGACGTTTTGTCAGGGATGTTGCATTTACTGTGTGTCAGCAGTGTGGTCCATTTAATGCTTCATGTGCAGCTTATAGGCAGGCTGCTGCAGGCGTGTATACAGCTGGGGTTGCTGTCAGGCGCTGTGGTCAGTATGAAACCCTTGTCTTTGTGTGGTTGCTGATGTTTCAGCTGCAGCAGCACTGAGGCTGGCAGAGGGAAACAGCAGCCTGCGCTTGGACTGAGTGGAGGTGCAGCCATGCGCTGCTCCACCCTGCTCTGCATCCTCACGGGGGTGCTTCTCTACTTGGTGCTGGGAGCTGTGGTGTTCCGCGCCTTGGAAGTTCCACGAGAGGAGGGCAAGCACATGCACCTGCAGGACACACGCCGGGACTTCTTGTTGAACTTCACCTGCGTCAGCCCAGAAAACCTACAGGTCCTTATAGAGGTACAGCAGATCGTGACAAGAGCCGCTCATTAATATGTGATCAGTGGAGCACCTAGCAACGGTGTAGTCTCTTCAGTTCCTCCAGTGGGTGGGGCATCATGGTGGGTAGAGGAACTCAAGTTCTTCCTCCTCTTGGGATTTCAGTCTAGTAATGGGATAGTAGCAATTTACTGACACATCACAACCACCTGTGCTACCTAAATCAGTTTTTTGTATGTGATGCCTAATCACAGGTTATGGCTATTAAATTAGTTGTGAGCAGTTTTACCAAATTATTTTATTTTCCTTCCCAGTTAATGTCATTTAAGGAATTTTTACAGGCCTAATTTAAACGTATTCAAGATTTTACAAAAAAGAAAAACATTTTTTATTCATATCTATGATATATATATCATTTTGTGACCCCATAGATGTCCTGACAGCCAGGTTGGGAACCACACTGAAAAGTAATCTAAACAAACTTGTGACTGAGGATAATGCTGCACTGTTTTCTTTCTTTCATTGTCATGCGCATTCAATTTTTTTTATGACTTTACAGGCTGAAACATACCTTTAAGTTATTGTTGTATAATCAAAAAAGCTGAAATGCAATGAAATTAACATGTAAAGCTGATTCTTTTATGGAATATTTTCTTCAATATTATAGTGATTACTACTTCTGTCCAATATACAACAGGGTCTCAGTAACTGAACCTACAAATTGTGAATGCAAAAGGGACATTGCTTGTGAATAGGTTGTTGTTATTTATATATAAACAAACTCCAATCTGAAGCTTAGAGACTGTCCACCTAGCTAAAAATATATTTTGGCCTGGTGTCCGACAGATAACTGTCTCATTGGGAACTTGGTTGACTCTGACGCTACAACTTCAATCAGATTTGTGGGTCCACAGGGTGACCATTCAGATTTGTAGAGTGCTTGGCACTGGTCAGTGAAGCTCTCTGTGACCCTGTGGAGCAGTACAGCACACTGTGGGCCAGAGAACAGGTGTAGTCAGAGCAGCTATGTGAGGATGGGTCAGCTCTAGTGAGTGTGTGTGGGTGTAAGTGCATGAAAGCTGATCCATGCATAGGTTGAGTGTTAGAAGCCAGGTTGGCAACCGTGATGTGATCCTGAGATGTTTGTCCTCGTTCCAGAATGAAAGTTGTAAACTACTGTTTTAGCCTGCAAAGTGATCTATAGATGCAATGGCTGACATTTACAAAAAGGTTAAAGGGACTTAAGAAAACAGTGCAGCCTTCTTCATCCTGGTTACTGATTCAATGAAAAGACTTAAAGGATAATGAGGACACATGTATTGTGGTTCATAATATTAGCAGTTAATGAATGACAAAGTGTTCAATATTAAATGAAGAAAACATACATGATGAAATAATCCTGTGGATAAATTGTTTAAAAAATACAAATTAACCAAATAATTACTTTATATTATTTCATGATGGCATTTATCATAATGACACAGTTTGTTTTAATAAATAAAATGTCAAATATGCAATAAAAATCAAAGTTATTACAAAAATAAAAAATATTTAATAGAATTTCATAATTAGAAGTTGAGTTTTAATAGTTTCTCCGCAAAATATTGTTTAATTTATTCAAAAGAGACAAAAAGAGAATTGTTGGACCAATAAAAAAAATGTAATTACTTAAATGAATAAAACACAAATAAGTTAAGTTTTTTCAAATTAATTTTGAAGCAATTGTCTAACTTGTTGACTTGATTTGAAAAAACTTTTTTACTGAACACAGGCCCCATTGATAAAAGCTACAAAGATGAACGATTAAATTCAGTCTCATAAGGACATTGTCTCATTCATCTTTAAGAAAATAAGGTTAACACAAAGAATTTGAAATTTGTTGACTTTCTAAAACAAAAGCTCCCAGTACAATGTTTCCACATTATTATAATCATAGAAACACACTTAAGCCACCCGATGATATGATGTTTCTATTGTTAGGTCCTGTTGGAAAATCATTAGAATAGTTTAGATGAGCTTGCACTGTAGCACACTTTAACACATGTGCACTTCATGACAGCTTACATAAGAGGTGAAGTCCTGTTATTCATGAGTGAACCAGGCAGCTGTTTTAAAGTCATTTTTCAGATGTTGTTCAGTTCATCAAGTACCATTGTGGGTCAGTTTTCATTGAACCAGTGTCAGCGGATGTCAACAGGTCTTCAATAGATTCAAAGTACTTTCCGACTACAGTATGTTTTCAATTTGAGTAATGAGAGATGTCACAATACCACTGCTGTACCACTGGCTGTTAATGTGGATGATCACGTGTATGGTGATAGTACAGGATGGCTCACTTGCGATGTGAAAAAATAACAAACAGATGAATCGATAATGAAAATAATCTAAATAGAAATCTATTTCAAGCAATCTGTAACACAGTGTCACTCCTGTCATTGTATATTTTCTGTTTTGCAAAAATAGATTTTTCATTAACCCATAAGAACCCATGGTGACACGTGTGTCACAAACACTGTAAATGTCCTTGAATCTTCCATATACAGCTTTATGCTTGACCTTAACTCATTAAGTCCTTAAGTGACATCTACAAAACATCCTGGTGTGGTGGTCAAATGACAATCATGTGACTGTGACAGGAAAGTGTCCCCTCCAAAATGTGGGTGTGACTGAAATGACAGAATTGACAGAAATTAAGGAAATGGCTAAATTCAAAAAGCTTGTTTTTTGTTACTAACGTAAGTTTAAACCCATTTAACAATTCTAATGCTTTAATAGTATGTCCTGTATTGCATTTAATCTGTTCTGACCATATTTCCTGAACAAAATAATATAAAACAAGTTACGAAAATGTTGCTGTGACGTATACGTCACATCGGGCTTTTAACCGTAAAGTTGTCATGGAAAATCTGATGTGACGTCTGTGTCACAATAACAAAAAAGGTAATAAGCCCCTCAATTAATTTCACTGTTTCAGTTATTTAGAATTAATATATGCCCTGTCAATTTAAAGTATATTTGAAGAAATATGAAACGAAAAATGAATGTCAAATTATTAATGTATTCATAGAGTATTTATTTACCAAAAACGCCCATTGTGACTTTTATGTCACAAAACAAATATTTGACATTTAAAAAGAAAAAACATCAGAAATGTGTTCTATGAGTTCCACTTGGTCTGTGGTATATCCCCCATAGTTTTCCTTAAAGAAAAATGGGTCTGGATTCTTATGGGTTAAAACACAAAAGATGATCTTTTTAATGGTTTTGTTCTTCAGAGCACTCAAAAACTTACAGACTGAATCTCTTAAATGCCCACATGTGGTTACTTTGCGGCCAGGTATGTCAGTATATTGCAAAACTGAATTCAACTGCTCTCCCTCATCCCCATATTTCCCTCTACAGTCTTACTCCCTGTATTGTACAGCACTGAAATGTGGCTAAATAGTATGACAGAATAGAGTGTGAGACAGTATTGTTTCTTGGCTTTAAATAGTTCAGACAAATTCCCAACAGTGCACATTGCTAACCTCATAATTTACCCTTTGACCCTGAATTCTTTTAATTTAACATGAGCCAGTTGAGGTGGAGAAAAAGTTTAAAATTCCACATTTAAGATCGAACAAGGCCCGAAACCAAGGTCATCTATTGAATGAGCGAAGGCAATGTGTAGAACCCAATAAAATCAACATTTTTCATATGAAATGTTTTTAAAAGGTGAATAAATAAATAAACAAATGGTCATATAAAACCAGATGTTAGAGAATTATACTAATATTAGCTTTAATGTTGAAAACAACAAAAAAGTTTGGCAAAATCCTTGTCCATGTTAACACTAATTAGAAGCCTCTGCGATTCAAATTAATGCACAACTGGAACTGGGAAACATTCCAAATCAATCAGTTTTTGCAAATGAGTTGGGGCGGACAGATGCAGTGGCGTCAGTCCATCAGACGGGCTCAACCAGACCCAGCCATGTCTCTGTGATCATAAACTTAACAATGTTAATAATGATAATGCTCAATCACAACTTCATCATAGTCAGCTTTAAATTCAGAGTTAACAAACGTCTTCAAGTACCAACAGACATAAAACCGATAATTAGATCAGGGAATTAGATTATCTGTGCTGGCAGTGGTTCGATACACTCGGGACAGAATGGAGCCGTCACAGTTGTACATCACCAGTCACTTCGTTGTCTCTGATTGCCGGCTGCTGATGCAGTGACAATGCAATTTCCACACTACAGCATTTCCTACATGACTGGGGGACCTAAAGCCTCCAGCCAAAGTAACAGATTATAAAGTAATACATTGATTGTTCCCATCCCAGGAACTGGTGGAGGCCGTCGGTGAAGGTGTGGATCCCAGCAGCAACATCACCTTTGTCAGCCAGTGGGATCTAGCCAGTGCCTTTTTTTTCTCAGGGACAATCATCACAACCATCGGTGGGTGTCCATTAAACTGTTAAGACCTCCAAAATGTGACTGGAATCTGTTTCATTTCTGACCTTTACATTTTACAATTGGTGCCTTCAAATCATCTGCTCCTACACCTCAGGTTTTGGAAACATCTCCCCCAAGACAGAGGGAGGGAAGTTGTTCTGCATCTTCTATGCCCTGGTGGGAATCCCGATGTTTGGTATCCTTCTCGCTGGAGTCGGAGACCATCTGGGTACTGGGCTGAGGAAAGCTGTTGCCAAAATAGAGACTCTCTTCCGGGTCAGACCTCAACAGAGCTTTCAAAGTCTTCTTTGCTTGCACCGTACATGTACTTCCCTTTATTTGTCTCTTCCTGCTACGTTGTTTTCCTCTGCTGACAGAAATGGCGAGTTAGTCCAACCATTGTGCGAGTGATCTCAGCCGTCCTGTCCATCCTGCTGGGTTGCCTCCTGTTTGTCGCAGTGCCTATCCTGGTTTTCCAAGAGGTGGAGAAGTGGACTCTTCTGGAGTCGGCCTACTTTGTAGTTATCACCCTGACGACAGTGGGGTTTGGAGACTATGTTGCAGGTATAGAACAGTTAATCAACCACCCACAGGTTTCTTAATGTACCCTGACAGAGGTGTGTACAGGCTCTCTGAGGGAAAATCATAAAGGAACAGCTTTTCTTAGAGGCCCCAAAATAAGTGAGGCCCCATAATGGCTATACTTAAATTGAGATGCTTGGATAGAAAACATATAAAGTATGTTTCCACTCTAACTTACTGTATGTTTATACACTTAAACATACTTGTTGCCAAAGACACTGAAACTTTGGTGTTTTAGCCTCGAGGCAATGAGCTATCCTACACAGCATCAAACCCTGAAAAGAGTCATCACAAGGGGCAATTTAACATAAAACATACGAGTGAAAGTAGAACGTTGTTCTTCACATGTAAGTGACATATTGAAGGTCCAGTGTATAACATTTATGATGTTCTATTGGCAGAAATAACCATAGGTATGTTTTAATTAGTGTACCAAACCCTGGCTGTAGATAGGGCTTTTTTTGTGGCTACTGTAGTTTCTCCTACACACTTCACACCCCGTTCTCATTCCAGGCTGGAATAGAAAGTAAAGTAGAAGTATCTCAAAATCATATTTAGATAAAGAAGTGAGTAAATGTACTTTTTTGATGGCTGGTCAGTAATATAGTTCACACCAATAATACTGGGTGAGAATAAGGCATGAGGGAGGCCTGGAACCTGGAGCCCCCAAAATCACAAAATCTGCTCTTGCCCTGTCTGCATGCAGAAATGACGGTAGGGTTATTTTTGCACTGAGGTCACATCAGAGCTGAACCTGAGCTAACCAGAGAGGACCCTCAGAGGCCAAGGGGCATAAAAGTATATTCAGTGCACTGATGCATCCCCATTAAATAGCCAAATTGTCCTATTTTAAAGAGGGCCCTGAACCCTGTCCACACCACTGACAACCTATGCCATCTTGCTTTAGGATACAGATCAACTTTACTCTGTTTGTGCAAAGCTGCTGAAGTGAAAATGTTGTAGTCTAATTTGTTAATATCTGACTTGCACTTGCTTTTACATATATTTGCTTTTTCGTTGAATTTATTGACCTGTAGATGCGCTGCTGGTATGACTTAATTAGTCATCCATAAATATAACTGTCAGTTGCAATGCATTAAGTTCACTTAGCACAGACAATTTTCATTTACCTTATAAATTATTTAGGATTGTGTTCTTGTAACAGATGAATTATTGATCATCTAATCGACTAGATAATATTTCCTATCTTAAATGTTTATCTACTCTACATAAAAGGACATATGTATGTATGAATGTGTTGCCTTTACTCACTGCTGCTGTATACTGTGTCTTTGTATCTTCTTAAAGGGGATTCTGGAAATGAGGGGAGTGACCACTGGTACAAGCCTCTGGTGTGGTTCTGGATCTTGCTCGGTCTTGCCTACTTTGCATCTATCCTGACAATGATTGGTAACTGGCTTCGGGTTCTATCTAAGAAGACCAGAGCTGAGGTACTTCTTCGTCTCTCATGTCTGTTTTATCATGTCTTGTCTCTACCACTTCCTTTCTAACAGCTCTGGTTTCATCCCCTTCTCTTAGATGGAGGAACTTCGAGCCCATGCCACTGACTGGACTCAAAACATCCAGAATATGTCAGTGGATTTTCGCATCCCAGGAAAAATTGATGACCCATTCAAACGGCGTCGGCGAAAGCGCCGCCATGGCCCTCGCAGCCATGGTCACAGTGTGTCAGCTACCGGGGCCCCTGAGGGGAAAGAAGAGCAGCATCAGAGTCAGACAGAGTCAGGATCTTACACTTCTTCCTCCTCCTCTAACGAATCAGGGTCTGGATCAGAAACAGACTCTCAGGCCACTCAGACGGAGCGAGTGCCTGAAGAAAAAACTGCAGAGCCTCCAAAGGAGGAGACTCTTCCAGATCCCCACCTGTCTCAGCCTCTGGACTACTTTGGGGAGAACCTTGCGTTCATTGATGAGTCTTCAGATACCCAGAGTGGTAAACTACATTTGGATCCTCTGCTTGATACAACGCAATCCAACTCTGTACGCTCTCGTCAGCCCAAGAGGAGACGCCACAGGAGACCTGTTCCACAGAGAAGCCCCAAAATCAGCCACTCCAACCTTGACAGGACGGAGCCCAATGGAAACCCAAAACCAGTTTCAGGTCTACCACTGAAGCCTTAAGATCGAACCTGACTGCTAGCACATGAATCGACTTGAGAGATATGAAATGCGTTCATTATCTGACAGAGGAGTTCTCAGTGTAGCAATTTATTTGTGTATATGTACTGCTTACTTACAGACACTTAAGATGAAAACATGTTGCAGAAGCCTTAGCCACTTGTGGTTTGCATTTAATGCTCTTAGCATGCGAGTGTGTATGCCTCAATCAAAGATGATGAAGTGATTTTTATGCCAATGTTCCCATTACTTTTCTGAGGAGTTACTGCTCTCTACTGGACCAAGACAGAAATGCACTACCACTCTCTCAACATGAGGGCTCCCGCCTTTTACTAATCCAAATAGTGCAAGAAAGAGCAACAAAAAACCATGTGGTCAGAAACTTGCCACAGCAGCATGGTACTCATGTTGAAGAGGGGTTGCTTTGGTCTGAGACAGTTACTCTTGAATCCTGCCAACAATTTAAACGGGTACCAAACTGGCTCTTGTACATTTTTGGTATGTAACAAAACCTTTTTTTAAATACTGTGTACAACCATAATATTTGCATTTTGATGGCCAGATGCATTAATCCTACTGTACTGCATTAATAAAGAATTTTTTTAAATGAAGCAGCAGCACTGTGTCTTGCAATCATGTTTAGCACATTATAATAAGCTTCTCTGGGAAACATTTTTATCAGTATGACACATCCTGTTCTTACATAAAAAAGTAAGTAAACATCTCTCACAAAGCTGTGGTTGAGCATAATTCAGGAGTGCTGAACCGCAATGGGGACTTTTCACCAAGCCCCTGAAAATCAGTACCGTGTGTCCCAGATCCAATACTTATTGTAGCAATGTCAGCATGCAGTTTTCACAGTGCCCAGCATACAGTGCAACTCCATAAGGATCATCTATGGTATCAGGTTCCATACCAGAATCAATTACTCATGTCCAATATCTTTTCCTGAGGGGCTGTCCTGTAGAAAATGTGCTGGTCACAGAATCCGTCACATTACTGAGCTCAGAAAATAACCCACACCAGCGTGTGCTTCCACTAGGATGAAACAAGGGACCCTGATTTTGTCGTCATATAAAATGTCCAAGTCACTTTTTATAGATGTCTGTTAATTTAGTGTCTAAACACCTAGATTAAACCTAAAAAAAACCACCTTGATAGGCAAAAAGGGAAGAAGAATCACTTTATAGTTTTGGGAGTAGTTTTGAAATATACTGTTGGTATATATATATATATATATATATATATATATATATATATATATATATATAAAGTGTAAGATTTAGTGGTATTTAGCTGTGAAATTTCAGATTGGAACTAGCTGAACACCACTCGCGTCTGTATTTGATGATCTGGGAATGTGAACGGGCCGTCTGTGTGAGAAACTACGGTGGCACAATCTACAGCCAGAGTTTGTTTTGTCCGTTCTGGGCAACTGTAGAAACATGGCAGTTCAACATGGCGGACTCCATGGAAGGAGACTTGTGTGTGTCTGTAGATAAAAACAGCTCATTCTAAGGTTACGAAAACACAATTGCTAATTAAGGTGATTATACACTAATGAAAACATACCTATGAATATTATATTCCTTTTCTCCCATCCTAAATATTACGCACTGGACCTTTAATAGTTGTTATATTCAGACAAAGTAATCAAATATTCAGGGTAACAAGATGAAGTTTATACACCTATGCTTTGGGTGGCTTTGTCAGGCTGTACTTTGCCACAGTGATGCTATGAGGTAAATGCTAATGTCACCATGCTAACAACCTCACACCTACAATGCTCACAATGGCATGAACCTGATATTTAGCATGTTCATGCTCAACTATGATGTTCAACTGCAAGAATTAAGTCACAAATCAAGATACTGACAGATATACATTTTGACCTGATCATGGAGCTAGAGCAGTGGCTCTCAACTTGGTGTCTGAGGGTCCTTGAGGGGGTCCCCAGAAAATGGGGAAGATTTAGATTAACCATTATTTAACTAGAAGTTAGCCCAGTGAGAGAATGCATGAGAACGACTCTTTGTCACCAAAAAAGGTTGAGAACAGCTGCACTACAGGAAAAGTCTGAGGATAACCGACCTCAAAGAAATTCATCCTCTGGGTGCCGTGAAAATCTGTACAAAACTACCCAGCAATCAATAAAATGTTTGTTGAAATATTCCAGTCTGGACCAAAGTGGTCCACTCCGCTCCTCAAATCTTGGTCTTTTATCGATTCCCCGCTCCAACTGCAAAACTAAAGGTGACCCTCTGGAATCATCTTCCCCAATCGCTCAGATTTTCTGAATCTTTGCGCTGTTTTAAGCGGCTCCTTAAATCCCACATCTATAGGCTGGACTTATTATTATCATCAACTCCTTTCCCGTGTTTATTTAATTATTTTTTTTGTGTCTGTTTATTCATCCATATCTTAGTATTTATATGTTTTTATGTATGTGTATGTATGTGTATGTAAATATCTATATTTATATATACATGTGTATGTGTATCTTTATATTTTTTTGTAACTATGTATTTTAAAAAGTGCTTTACAAATAAAGCTTTACTTCCTTTTCTTACTTAATGCTGCTAGCATGGCTAAAAACAACACTACCAAGAGAAACAAATACAAGTCAGTGTTTAAAATTTATTCCAGGTAATGATTCTCTCATTTCTCAGACAGGCCTTATTATGTGAACCAAGAGTCTTATAATTTTATGGCAAGGGTGTAAACATTCATGTGGCCTAATGCTCAATACAGACCAGTTCAAGTTGGCGGAGGCAGGTGCTGCAGGATTCGCACTTGTATCATATATACAGCACTGTCTTGTGGAGCTACCTAATAAATGCCCTTCAAGTTATCAATATTGCCCTTTTAGCATGTGCTGCCGCTCCTCAGTTGATCCATGTAAGTGATACTCCGCTGGAAACTCTACCTTGGTGTTTCAATCTGAATATGGCACCAAGGACAAACTGCGGCTGCCGTTCTTTTGTTGTCTGTATTTTTTTTTTTTTTTTTAAAGAAAAGCTGCTGTGCCTTAATGTCAAAAAATATCTGAAACATAAAAGTTAAAGCTGTTACTGATTTATATATTAGTGTATATAATATAGTAAATATAAGTCTATGAATGCAGGTTGCTTTCTGTTTAAACACAGCCAGCAGATGGCATACAATGACACATTTCCCTCCATATGACAGTCCAAGACTAACCTACATACTTCCATACATCCAAGGTCTCTGACTGAAATTGACTTACATTTGCTTGCTAGTGACCATTTGAATGATCTAAAATAAGAGAAACAGCAATTTGTCTGTTGTCGCCCTACTTTCATGTTTTCATGGTGAGTAAGCAAAACGTTTTAAAGGAGCAGAAAGCAGGTGAGTGTTCATCTACCCTTTGGAAATCTGACACTTTCCTGCAGGACATGTAAAAAGGAAAAGGCAGCCTTGTAGCATTGCGATCGGGAAGTCAGCAGGCAGTGATGATGTGCTGTGGCAGTGGGTGACCTTTTACTGGAGGACACACACTCAGCTGCTATAACGTCATCAGTACAGCTGCTGCAGTTCCCCTGTGCTGTCACTAGGGGGCAAATAATGGCCAGTGTTTATAGTGCTGATGTAGGCTACACGCCTCACCTGGCGTTAAAGGGAAGCTCCACCCTAAATTAGATACCAATTATGTTATTTCAGCTGAATACAGACACAGACGTGTCACTTAGAGACAAATCCTGGAGCAGCTCCATAATGGGGACATTTTCTCATTCACAAATGGTTGAGCTGTACACTCACTGGGATGAGACATTTTAAACTAAACCTCAGAATTAGTCATTTCATGGCCTGAGACTCCCTTAAGCTTAACTGATGACAATGTCAAGTAAAGATGATCTGATCTCCAATTTAACAAAACACAGTCCACATAATATATATAATATAGCAGAATATAAATCCTGTTTTAGGGTGAATTTTCTGTTTAATGTTAATGTAAATGCAGTATGTAATACAAGCGTGTGTGAATGGAGCAACACAGATATTAACCTTTCTTAGAAATAATCTCAATAATAATAAAAATGTCTTCTGTTTGTTCAGCTGTGGTCCAGGACCAACTGACACTGAAGACTACCATGTGAACTCCTTAAACCCACTCTGTACTCAGTCTACTACAGGCTACTAATAAGGATGACGCATTAAGGCGTTAGTATAGGTGTACTAGTACAATATAGGTGGAGGCTGTTCTCCATCAGTTGTGTTATCTATGACTCATTGATGCAGTGCCTGGTTGCTATTTGTGTGCCCACAGAGCCACAATGGTTTCTTGGTAATCATGTAGCCTATCAGCTGACACCTGTGTGGGGTCATGACCTGCTGTAAGGAGCACCCTGGGGACCCCAGCTGCCATTCCCAGTCTGTATTTACTCCTCAACTACACAGCTATTACACCACAGCAACTGTCACACTGCCTCCTGTAAGACAGCTGCTTATAATATTATAATGCAGTAAATCTCAAAACCTTCTGACAAATCCAATGTTCCGGGCTTTGAGTGAATCCAATGAATATAGCATGACCGGTTTGGTCTCTAACAGGATGATAATGCAGACTCTGCACCAGTATGATGCAGCCCCGCAGAATTGCAGTGTCTGCAGCAGAGACTCAATGACCTTGCTTCAAGGTCGCAATGACACTGCCGTCAGTTTTTCCTCTCATGCGCGCACCACGAAAACCCTGTCCCGAGCCCCGAGCCCGCTGCATGCATGTGACCACATCAACACACACACACACACACACACACACACACACACACACACACACACACTGCCGTCCTGCACTTGTGACACAGCTAGGGGAATGTGGCTCATTGGTTTAAACAGACTAGACTAACGTTTATTGGTCTGTAATTAGCCAGATAATGCCGGAGTCTCCGGGGAAACAGTCACTTAACTAAAGTACACCACGGTGCTACTCCATTGTCTCTGTATCCAACGTCCTGCTTCTGATCCTTTCTTTCTTGTGAAATTAGTGAACAAGGTTGTCAGCTCCTCTGTGGCAACTTCTCTCCTCTCTGTGCCAGCTGTTAGCAGGCATGTTGGAGAGCGCAGGGGCAACCTATTTCGAGACGCAGCAGGCGACAAAGTTAAACAGAAAAGTCATTGTATGGTTGTTATCCGTTACATTACGCAGAGCGCGCACAGCGAGATATCCGAGACATGTTTTATGATGTTTCATTGGTGACTCTTTGGGCAAACTGCACTGCGGTTATACTATACTGTACTATACATTCAAACGTCTACCGCTTGATTAGTTCCCTTTCTAATCCCATTGGTCTCCTGATCTCTTCTTCCTTGGCTCATGCCCAAGTAGTGTAGTGGTGGATTGAGCCGGGTCAGTGTCACAAGACCGAAGGCATGACTACATTTTCCATAGAGGTGAGCTGTAAGAGACATGCAGCTCTTTCTGCAGCAGTCCCCTGGAGCTTGTGACATAAGTGGAATAAAAATATCCCTCATAATATTGAAATGTGTGGAATGTTAACTTAAAAATACCACAACAAAACAACTAAATTAGGACAAAATGCACAATAAGGACAATTGAAACGTACATTTAAACTAGTATTTAAGTTCCTCC